GAGGATCGTCTTGAAGCATAGTCGTTGCTAGTCTGAGAGCTTTCAGACTGCGATGGATATCCAGAGCTGGACGGATAACCGGCGGAACTTCTCGACGGATATCCCGACGATGAAGGAGAGCCAGATTGAGAGGGATATGAGGATCGTCTTGAAGCATAGTCGTTGCTACTCTGAGAGCTTTCAGACTGCGATGGATATCCAGAGCTGGACGGATAACCGGCGGAACTTCTCGATGGATATCCCGACGACGACGGAGAGCCAGACTGAGAGGGATATGAGGATCGTCTTGAAGCATAGTCGTTGCTACTCTGAGAGCTTTCAGACTGCGATGGATATCCAGAACTGGACGGATAACCAGAGCTTCTGGACGGATATCCAGACCTTGAAGGAGAGCCGGATTCAGTGGGGTATCCGGATCTCCTCGAGGCATAATCGTTGCTGTTCTGCGAAGGACTGGCAGACTCTGATGGATATCCGGAGCTTCTCGACGGATATCCCGATGAAGAACCACTTCTGGAAGGATAACCGGAGCTGGACGGGTAACCGGAGCTCGACGGGTAACCGCTCCTTGAAGGATAACCGGATGAACCGCCCGAGGCGTCTCCACTTCCAGTCTTCGTCGACGACGGACTCGATGAATCTGGAGACGATGCTGACTGAACGTCGTCGTTGCTCTGACGTTTAGCGATTATCCGGCCGTCCTCCTCCTCTATCGTTTCTGTGAACAATTCGTTATCTACCTCCTAATTGTTTAGCCGAGTTTTGGTACTGCCGCCCCATGCCATGCCGAGTCCAACGCGACCATTGCAATTTCGTTGCCATAGCGAACGGTTGCTTTGACCAGCAGCGCGAACGATTCTGTCCTGGTTACTTTATTCCGTCAATCAGCGAATTATCAAGCCAATTACGATGGCCTGCCTCCGTTGTTATCGCGGCACGCTTCGCCTCGAACTCTGCCGGTTAATGCGCCTGTGCCTGGCGAAGCAACTTGTTCCGTGTGTTTTGTAATTACGGCATGCAGTTTTTGGCGTTTTAGTACGGATTAGGATTAACCGCGAACACGTTGGTTGTTAATTAATGCCGAATGCGTGCACGGATGTCGAAGTTCGGACAATCAATCGTTAGTAGTTCCTCGTGTAAGTCATGCAAAATTGATGTCAATGATCGTTTCTTTGGCGAGGGAATTGAAGGATTGCAAAGAAATAGAATGCTGATTTGTTTATATATTTAAGTATTCTTCGTTGTTACATATTACATATTGGTTAAGTACTCGTTAAGTACTGTGTTTGTGATAGATATTTGTAGAATAACGGTATGCGGTTAGCGTGACTGTAAAATGGCACTTTGAGGAAGAACCCACAGTTATAAAACTCCACGAAACACCGGGTACGTAAGTAAACGATTCACTTGTTAAGTACAACCATTTTTCTTCACTTATGCCTAATATATTTGCGTAAAACAGCAATTAACTTATTGCTCTCCTATAATCTAAATATATCGAGTAATCAAGGCTGGCTTATGTTTTGCATTTACTAGTAAATCGAATTATAATTTCTCACAAAGCATCCTCATTCAGTCAAATCCAAATTCTCGTTCTTCTTTTATCGTCTAACACAATTCATTTCAAAATTTTAACGATGCTATGCATGTAAAATTTTTCTTTGCTTCAGTCTAAATATATCGAATGATCAAAGTGACTAGCTTGCATTTAGCACTTACTAGTAAATCGAATGATAATTTCTTACAGAGCACCATCATTCAAACAATTCCAAATACTCGCTTCTCATCAGAAATCTTATGAAATCGATCCATAAATTTTTAACGATGCTGCGCACATGAGATCATTATTTGCTATTGTCTAAATGTATAATCGAATGATAATTTCTCCGACAGCATCGCTATATTTTCAATCAATCAATCAAACAAATCGAAATTGCGGTACGTCTTTTTGTGTCTAGTACAATCGATCAAACAAATTTTAACGATGCTACACACGTCAGATTGTTTTGCCTCCAGCCTGCAAAAGGAGCGTTGGTCCCAGAGCGATTGAAATTAAGCATAAGGGGAACGGTTCGCGTGATCGTGTAGGTCCGACGATTAACCCGAGAATCTCCAGATCCTATTCCCCTGGTTATCGGTGGACGTGTGGGTGTTGTAACAGCCGCTGCTGCTACTTGGATGGAATCGGCTTCTGGGAGTGGTTGTACTACTGCGCGATCCAGAAATACGACGGTCCCCGAACAACCGATCAAAAATAGAACCGTTCCCGATAGTGTTCCTCGATCCCGAATTACCGCTGATTCTTCCGCCGTTTCCGTTGGTCGCAAATCTCGACGGCGGTGAGGGCGTTGTCGGCTTGAACCTGCTTGGCTTGTTCCACCTTGGTCTTTGTGTCGGATATACTGTTAAATTGGAGAGTGGTAGTCAAAAACTACTGTCACACAGAGGACGCCGAACGGACATCAGACACCTTAGGTAATTCTGTATACGTGTATACAAAAGTAACGAAGACGATTTACAAGCTACGTCTTCGATGGGATTAATCCGATCGACACATTAGTATAATTGTTGGCAGAGCTGTGCTAATTCAGATCCATAGTAATTCAATTTCGCAATATAATTGCATTGTAATTCGATTACATAGTAATTCAATTTCGCAATTTAATTGCATGGTATTTCAATTACATAGTAATTGAATTTCGCAATTTAATTGCATGGTATTTCAATTACATAGTAATTCAATTTCGCAATTTAATTGCATGGTATTTCAATTACATAGTAATTCAATTTCGCAATTTAATTGCATGGTATTTCAATTACATAGTAATTCAATTTCGCAATTTAATTGCATGGTATTTCAATTACATAGTAATTCAATTTCGCAATTTAATTGCATGGTATTTCAATTACATAGTAATTCAATTTCGCAATTTAATTGCATGGTATTTCAATTACATAGTAATTCAATTTCGCAATTTAATTGCATGGTATTTCAATTACATAGTAATTCAATTTCGCAATTTAATTGCATGGTATTTCAATTACATAGTAATTCAATTTCGCAATTTAATTGCATGGTATTTCAATTACATAGTAATTCAATTTCGCAATTTAATTGCATGGTATTTCAATTACATAGTAATTCAATTTCGCAATTTAATTGCATGGTATTTCAATTACATAGTAATTCAATTTCGCAATTTAATTGCATGGTATTTCAATTACATAGTAATTCAATTTCGCAATTTAATTGCATGGTATTTCAATTACATAGTAATTCAATTTCGCAATTTAATTGCATGGTATTTCAATTACATAGTAATTCAATTTCGCAATTTAATTGCATGGTATTTCAATTACATAGTAATTCAATTTCGCAATTTAATTGCATGGTATTTCAATTACATAGTAATTCAATTTCGCAATTTAATTGCATGGTATTTCAATTACATAGTAATTCAATTTCGCAATTTAATTGCATGGTATTTCAATTACATAGTAATTCAATTTCGCAATTTAATTGCATGGTATTTCAATTACATAGTAATTCAATTTCGCAATTTAACTGCATGGTATTTCAATTACATAGCAATTCAATCGCGCAATTTAATTGCACTGTATTTCAATTGAATAGTAATTTAACTACGTTGTTATTCAATTACATAATTCGAACCTTTCGTTTATTTCAATTGCTAATTATTTTACTCACGAGTGTAACTGAAGTACGATGTAATTGGAACAAAATGATCGTTATTTTTAATTCAATTACATAGTAATTCGTAATTAATGCAATTGCATTGTAATGTAATTCAATTATAATATAATATAATATAATTCTCTCCTACAATTATAATATAGTGCCTTCAGTAATTCAATTATAATTCTGCACAACTCTCTGATTGTTAGTTGTTATCCCGTGCTGGTATATTATACTACCTGTTAGGCTTCTTCAAGCATGCACGATGGTTATTGTTAGTCTCCTCGTATCTACGTAGGGATTTCTACAGCTCGATCTTCCACTCTTCAATTCGAACGCACTACTCTCGCAGCTTTTAATTACAATTAGTTTTTAATTGTATTTACAATTAAATTAATAAGTCAGTATAATCGTAAAAGTATTAATAGATATCAGCGTTTATTTGGCGTATTACTGCTGGAACTGAAAAAAAGAAATATTTAGAAAATAGCAGACAATTAGGAAAGCAGTTTAAAGAGCTCCTGTCAGAATGAGAATGATTTTGTATAATCGTAAAGGTATTAATAAATATTAGCGTTTATTTAACGTATTATTGCTGGAACTGGAAAAGGAAATATTTAGTAAATAGCGGAAAATTGGGAAAGCAGTTTAAAGAGCTTCTGCCATAATGAGAACCAGTTTGTTCTTCGCTTAGGCTGTATGACCTACAAAATTCGTTTACGCGGCTTGACCGAGTTGATAAGAAGTGTCAGGGTTCGAAGTGATAACGAGACCAATCGGTTTTCGATGAACAGACTTGCGACAAATTCATTCTGTCTTACAGTTTATACTGTCGAAGCATTCAGATGTCCCTTAAAACAATTATCGTTCTTAATACAATAAGACATTTTTTTGCATACTTATATTAACTGTCAATGTATAAACTGCAGACTTTCATACTAATTCAGAATTTTCGAAAGTTGAATCAAACTTTATCTTCTGCATTAGAGAATACATATTCAATTTTTTAATATTTGCACTTGCCTTTTTAACATTTTAAAGGCTTCTCAATGAATTGTTCAATAGTGTTATCTTGATTAACATAATCTAACAGCTGCATTTAAACATTAGGTGATTTCAACAGCTCGTCTTTCTGTTAACTATTAAATTAAAGATATTTATGAAAAATAAACAATGCATAATACAATTCTAAGAAAGGAAAATTAAATAAAAACGTATTACGCCTACACGAATAATTTCAATAGATTGAGAAGACCACGGCAATGTTCTGAAATTTGTCAAATGTATATACACTTCGATATCTTATCTAATCATTTTTTGTGTAAATGCGTAGAATACGCAGTCTATTAATCCTCGGGCTACGGTTACTATGTCATATCGATCGAGTGTATTTAAATCGTCAAATTCATTTTCTGGTAATTAGACCTTCTAAATTAAATTTTGAATTTTTCAGATGATGCTAAGTGTTTTCAAAAATATGCTTTGAAAAATTCAAAAACAAAGCTTCAAATGGTCATAAACATCGTTAATTATATAGTTGTGAATATAACTATTTTTATATTCGCATTGTTCAGAAACCGAAATTTTAGAATAAAACTTAGGATATCTCATAGGACAATCAAATGCCCAAAAGAAAGTTATGAAGCTTCGTTCGGATGCGATCTGACAGATGAAGTGTCGAGACTGATTAAAATGCACGTATTATCATGTTCAGCAGAAAATCCCACAAAAGCGTACATTTCTGCGGTCTATTAGCCGTAATTAACGCGAATCCTGAGGTGTTCATAAAACAAGGATTAACTCTGGAATACCTTGAGCTAGACCCTCGTTAACATCTTCAGCGGAACTGATTATGTGATCATCAATATTTGATACCCTAATGGTCGGAAAGGAAAAAGGAAGCTCCCCGTGGGCATACACATGAGCACTCGTATGCTCGCCTTAGATAAGTGTCCTCAGGGATGATCCTGGGGGGACTATCATTGGGTACACCAATCTTGGATTTTGATTACTGTACGTAT